ATGATGTTATATTCTCATTCTGGCATAAGTAGTTGACATAGTGGCATAGTTTATCGCGATACATTTTGGTCCCATATACATCATACAACAAAAAATAGATATGGTGACAGGCCTCTGCTAGAGCTGCTAGAGTATGGGGAAAATCATAATCAAATTATTTCGATCAATATGTGCTTTTATATCAACTTAAGCCTGAAATTATTCATAGCCCTAGCGAATACTGACTTTTATTCAATCAGCAAGTTGTGTTTGTGTTTGACTGGAAATGCCACAGGCTGCCAGAAACGCAGGAGAGCCTGGTGATGCGACATTAATTGTTTTATACTGAAACTTTCCTTCTAAAAGCGCGTCCTTGGTCTTATCCAAATTTCTGTGCACGTTAAACACACTGGCCGCCAGGGCAAACGGCAATCACGCCGCCCTCAAACCGAAAGGGAACGGTTCGCGGATAAAAGTGAGGACCGTGAGGGAGGGGGTGGGTGTAGCGGATGAAGTGAAGACCGGGGGGTTTCCTCACTATACTGCTGCCCAAAACGGCCGCCTAGGTTGCATCTATGCACGTGCCGGCCCTGAACACACAACGGCCACAACAGGAAATAAAAAAAACTTTTTTTTACGTGTTAAATATTTAAAATTAATCATGTGCGTTAACGCGATAATTTTGAAAGCCTTAATATATATATATATATATATATATATATATAAATAAATATTTATATACGTATATATATATATATACATATACACGTGTATATATATATATATATATATATATATATATATATATATATATATATATATATATATATATATATATATATATATATATATATATATATATATATATATATATATATATATATATATATATATATATATATATATATATATATATATATATATATAGATAGATAGATAGATATCTTTTCTTCTGGAGAAAGTCTTATTTGTTTTATTTGGGCTAGAATAAAAGCTGTTTTTAAAGTCATGTTAAGGTCAATATTATTGGCCCCTTCAGCAATATTAGTGTTGGATTGTCTCCAGAACAAACCACTGTTATACAATGACTTGCCTAATTACTCTAACTTTACCCTAATTACCCTAGTGAAGCCTTTACATGTCATTATAGTGTCTTATATATAATAACATATAGTATAGTATATAAGTATAATATAACTTGCATAAAAATAAATGTGTCACACCCCTGCAAACTCATCCCAATTAATCCACAGTAATGACTTTGCAATTAGGCCGGTCACGATATGTATATTGTGTTGTAGGATAAACTGCACCTAAATATATTACGATAAACGATATTGTTGTCATTTTAAGGCTGTTTTACGCCAGAATGACAATATAATATCACAATGCAAGCGCACTGTTCCAAAAACACATCATGTTTAATTATAAAGAACATTTCATTTAATTATAGCCATTTTAACAGTTTAATAATCAGGCATTGGAGTCAGAATGTGAAAACGCATATCCTAAACAAACAATAATAAATGTTAACAAGATGAAGAGTAACAGAGGCTGTGAAATCTGCTGCCTGATCTATTTTCAGCTGTCAGACACCCACATGAGAAAATACTATAGTCATTTACAGTAAATACTACAGTGTTTTTAACCATACTGACACCTCCAGAGATAGAGATGTTGCACAATCAGCTGAAATGTTGCTAAAACTGGTTTTTATGTATGTGCGATTTACACTCACTGGCCACTTTATTAGGTACACCTGACCAACTGCTCATTAATGCAAATTTCTAAGGTAGGCATGGTCGAGAGCATCAGCTGCAGTTCAAAGCCAGCATCAGAATGTGGAAGAAAGGGGATTTAAGTGACTTTGAACAAGGTATGGTTGTTGGTGCCAGGTGGTTACCTGAGTCTCAATTTCTGCAGCCACATTTGGATGGTCGGGTCAGAATTTGGCCTCAACAACATGAAAGCATGGATCCATCCTGCCTTGTATCAGCGGTTCAGGCTGCTGGTGGTGGTGTAATGGTGTGGGGGAGATTTTCTTTGGGTCCATTAGTACCAATTGAGCATCAACACCACAGCCTACCTGAGTATTGCTGCTGACCATGTCCATCCCTTTATGAGCACAGTGTCTCCATCTTCTGATGGCTACTTCCAGCAGGATAACGCAGCATGTCATAAAGCTCAATCATCTCAGACTGCTTTCTTGAACATGACGATGAGTTCACTGTACTCAAATGGCCTCCACAGTCACCAGAGCTCAATCCAATAGAGCAGCTTTGGGATGTGGTGGAACGGGAGATTGGCATCATGGATGTGCAGCCGACAAATCTGCAGCAACTGTGTGATGCTATCATGACAACATGGAGCAAAATCTCTGAGGAATATTTCCAGTAGCTTGTTGAATCTCTGCCATGAAGGATTAAGGCAGTTCTTAAGGCAAAAGGGGTCCAACCCGGTACTAGTAATGTGTACCTAATTAAGTGGCCGGTGAGTGTATATTGCATCCCTAAAAATAATTGAGGTCATGTCCATGTGTTGTGCGATAAGTCCATATATTGATTATTGTAACAGACCTAACTGCAAATAGATCTATTTAAGTCACCTGGTGAAATTGTATTTATAATCATAGAGTAAAACAATACTGCAATGTAAAGTTTTTATTCCAATACCATGCAGCTGTAATTCAGATGATGATTTTTGTACCTTTTCCTCCATGAATGGCCACGGCCTCCACACCTTTTAGCAGCAGATACTCGTGTATTGCATCCACATCTGCTTTCTTCTCTGCAAATATCAATACCTGAGAAACAGGAAGAAAGAAAGGTTATTTATGCGTTTCTGAGGATATAATAAGAGCAGCGAGCGTCTGCGTACCGGCGGTGGGGTTTTCTGAAGACACTCCAGCAGATAAACCATCTTGGCCTCTTCTTTCACGTACTCCACTTCCTAAAACACAAACACACATTAATGTTTATATTTTATTATGTTTTCTGTTTAATAAAGTCTCTTTCTGATCACTAAAGCTTACTTTAATAGAGTAATATTATGAATTATGTTACTTTAAATTAAAACAATGAATAAATGCTAAAATGTTATATAAATAAAATTATACAAATTAAAGCAATAAGTAAATACAAAAAATAAAATAAATACATACATAAGACTAAATAAATACAAAAATAAAATAAATACATTAGATAATAAATAAATACAAAAATAAATAAATAAATAAAATAATGCATTCATTAAAAACAATACATAAATACAAAAATAAAGTAAAATAAATAAAATAATACATAATTAAAAAAATAAATAAATACAAAAATAGAGTAAAATAAATAAATAAATAAAATAATGCATAAATTAAAAACAATAAATAAATATAAAAAATAAAGTAAAATAAATAAAATAATACATACATTAAAAAAAATAAATAAATACAAAAATAAAGTAAAACAAATAAGATAATACATACATTTAAAAAAATTAATAAATACAAAAATAAAGTAAATAAATAAATAAAATAATGCATAAATTAAAAACAATAAATAAATACAAAAATAAAGTGAAATAAATAAAATAATACATAAATTAAAAAATAAATAAATACAAAAATAGAGTAAAATAAATAAATAAATAAAATAATGCATAAATTAAAAACAATAAATAAATACAAAAATAAAGTAAAATAAATAAAATAATACATAAATTAAAAAAATAAATAAATACAAAAATAAAGCAAATAAATAAATAAAATAATGCATAAATTAAAAACAATAAATAAATACAAAAATAAAAACACAGGAGACAAAAAAATTTGAAAAATTAATAAAAAATATATGCATCAATTAAAAAAAATAAATAAATACAAAAATAAAATAAGTACATAAGACAATAAATAAAAAAATAAATAAAATAAATAAATAAATAAATAAAATAATGCATAAATTAAAAACAATAAATAAATACAAAAATAAAGTAAAATAAATTAAATAATGCATACATTAAAAACNATAAATACAAAAATAAAATAAATAAAATACATAAATTAAAAACAATAAATAAATACAAAAATAAAATAAACACACAAGACAATAAAATACCAAAATAAATCAAATCAAATAATATATAAATTAAAAACTATAAATAAATACAAAAATAAAATATATAATACATAAATAAATACATACACGCATACATACATAAATACATATATTTAAATAAAATTAACAACATTTTAAAAATGAGCAAGTGCCCTTTTATCTTTTAAATATCTTTAATTAAAACAAAGACTGTTCATGTTTTTATTAGATTGGATTTTTTACATTTAAATAAAAAATTGTTATGAAACAAACAGCATATTATATTTATTTAAAATGTTCATGTTGATATAAAAAATTATATTTATAATAACAATCAAACCAAACTTCTCCAAATATATATTCATATATTCTCAAATGCACCACATATGTTTCTAAAAACAACTATTGTCAAATAACAAAATTAAACTGCAATTATAAAACAAATACCAAATCAAATGTAAAAAACAAAAGAAGTATCTTTAATTCAAACACAATGGCGCCTGCCAGTATTGCGGTTCATTTAACATCCCAACCAATGCGAATGATCACATATTTAAATACATTTTTTTATTGAATTAATAAACCTATATAAATGTGATGAAATGGCTGATTGAGCTTGAGGAAATATCTCCAGATTGCTGACCTGAATGACGTCCAGACTGGCGGCTCCAGCTCGGCCCACATTAATAGTGATGGGTTTAACTAAAGCACTTTTGGCAAAGTTCTGGATCTTCTTGGGCATCGTGGCACTGAAGAGCAGCGTTTGCCTCTGACCCTAAAACAAGCAATAACAATCAATAAAAGCATCGAAAACTACCAATCAAGTCCTAAAATCACAGCCTACTAAGCCAGACTGAGACAATTTCAAGGCTTTGCATTAATTAGCGGACTAGATTGAGACAGTGTTGAACTTTGTCTTAATATTTTAATTTGGTC